TCTTTCTTTCTTTCTTTCTTTCTTTCTTTCTTTCTTTCTTTCTTTCTCTTCCAGACAGTCCTGTGTAGTATATTCTATCCTGGAACTTTCTATGTAGCCAAAAATGACCTTGAACCTCTGATATCCCCACCTCTACCTCTAGTACTAGAATTATAGATATATGACTCCACTTTGTTAGAGTACTAACTGTTCCATTAAGTGTTTGCTTCTGACTGTTTCTTTGTACTACATGAAATCCAAAGATTGGAGAAACGTTTTCAGGCTCACTCATCACACTTTGAAATTCTAATGGTCTAAAAAATGAATAGTTTATAGAAATTTTTGAAATAAAACCTATCCATAGCAGGGAAAGGAGAGTGGAGACACTCTAGAGAACATTCCTGTTAGGGGTTTGTGTGGTGTTACATATTCTGGGGCTAATTACTGGCCCCCAAGATCTGGCTGCTGCCCAGCACATTCTCATATATGCCTGTCCTTGTGCAAAACGTGCCTAAGAAATTATTCCTGTTTGACCAATAAAAAGCTTATACCCAGTGGGGTAGGCATAGTTAAGGTTTGAGGGCTTTGAAGACAGGAAGATCATGGGAAGGAGAAGAGAGAGGGAGAAACCAAAAGAGGGAGAAGAAGGAAGCAGAGAGCCCACACAGATAGGGGTGGGAAGAAGCACATTTTGGTGGGCATGGGTGGAGGAAGTGGCCCTGATGAAGAATAAGCAAGTATTTATGAAATTGTGGATGGGAGGTAGCTTGGGATGGGACTGGGAGGTAAAAGCAGTTGAGAGGGTTAGTGTCTGCCTGTTCCAGGTGATATAAGGCCATTCTAAAATCTATCAGGTGTCTGTCTTTTATTGATTGGGATAGTGGGTGATAATATAGGGTTGCTGCTGTAATAATATAGGGTTAATAACAAACATTATTAGACTTTGCCATTAAATTAACAGCCACACAATCATCTAAGAACAAAGAGTAGCTAGTTCCAAGTTCTTATTTTTATTATATTGGGTATTTTGAACTAAGTAATCACTTAAAACTGTTATCTTTCTACTGTTTTCTTAATTTATTTATTTGATAAGAGCTCACTGTTTTTTCATTTTCCTGATATAGAAATAAATATCAGTGTTACCTCATCAAAATTTATCAGTTTTAACAGATTCAAGCACATTTAACAGCTTTAAGCACATAGGGTAACATAAAAATATTATTTTGGCAAATTATCTTCAATCTACAAATAATGGCTTGAATCTGGAGAGTTTTTATCTTTAATTGTCAATATAGGAAAATTGAATAACAGACCTAACTTTAAAATGGAAAAGGAATGATGGCGTTGGTTGGGTATGACCAGCTTGTATTTAAGGAACAAAAGGGCATGTGTTGTCCCCCAAAATTGAATTTCTGAATACCCAAGTAATAACTTTCCTGGGAGCTCTGTAGAAATGTTGCTGAACACTTGCATCAGAATGGGCATGAGACAGAGAGCTACCCATGAGACTGCATGCTTCTCTAGTGTGTGTGCAGATACACCTGGCTTTAGATGTAACCTGATTCCTGCCCTCTTAAGCACTGGGCCATGTTAGGAACTTCATTGTTGTAAATATTCTCCTCATTTAAAAAGGATTAATTACTTTTCAATTGAAATTGTTTTAGCCAAAAGATTAAGCCCTGTATGAGAGATTAACCCTAGGCTGACATGAGAATAATTACATAGCTAACTGCTTTGGTAGCACCTGGCCCAGGGCATCCAGTTTAAGTCACACGGTGCTCTAGTTCATTCCATGGTGTTTTGAAGTAGCCATGTTTTGAAGATCAGAGGTTTGAGAAAGGCAGGGAAAAATTGGGTATGCCATGTTTTATAGACATCGAAGCCTGAGTTCAGAGATTGTTACTTGCTTTTCTGTGCTACTGAGATGATGAACTTGGCTGGAAAATTCAAGTAGTAGTAGTGATTAGAGATTTAATAGATTAATATTTTGCATGTTTTTTTTAGTACTGTAGACGACCTGAGCAGTTAAAGGTTTTGCTTGTGTTTTTACAAGAAACTAAGTTTCTATGAAGAACATAAGACAGAAACAAGTGCTCAAATTGACTGTGCATTTAAAATAATTAAAGACAGAATCACAGATTGCAGTAAAGGATGGCCTATAATATAGCATGCAGCACTCACTGGCCTGAAATTCTTGTATGTCCTTCTGCCTCAGCCTCCTGAATTCTGAGCTGACTTGTAGGCATGTCAGTTCTGTAGCTGAACCCCAGAATAACTCTGAATGTAACCCCACAGAAAATAAATGGTGCATGATGTTGTTTGTGATGTTTATCTTTATTTTATCTCTATTGCATCTTCTCCAGCATAAACTTTGTAGCGGATAATGTTGCAATGTCAAAAGGTTGGACATATCTGGGACAGACATGAGCCCTGACTACTAGACAAATGGACTTGCTTTTGGAGACAAAAAAAAAGAAGCTTCATTTAAGTTCTCTAATTAAATTTACTAATTAAATTTTGCCACGACAAGTACCTAACACAGGCAAATGTTTTCCCTTCTTAATACTGTTTTGCCTTCAGAAGTCTCTTGTGTTGTTGTCTTTATTTCTGTACTCCCAACTCTTGTCTTGGCATTCTAATACTTTTTCTGTCAGTTAAAAATTATTATTGATTCTGCATTCACAAAGTTACTAATTTCTATTGTTTCTTAAGTATATTTGTGTGGACAGTTTTCACGTGCATTTGTTGTTCACTGTTAATTAGCTGTGCTTGCATCAACATTATTCCAACACCCCACTTGTTGTTGATTGGCTACCATTCCTGGTTTGTTCCCTACATCTATCTTGCCATCCCTTGATGACCTGTTTTAGTTGTTATGCTTAAAAAAAAAAAAAAAAAAAAAGAATTCTTTTTTTATATAGTAATTATCTAGTACCTTAGCCATTTCGAATACTTTGAAAAAATTTCATAGGTAGACCTTTTGACTACAATGGGAGAATGGTATTCCTTACTCTTCCAGGGAAAAGAAAGCCAAAATGTTTAAGGTCTGGTGAGGAAAGCCTGGAAACAGGAACATGACTCACCTTGGATCTATAGCAGAGAGAGATAAATTCTGATGTTCAGTTCCTATTCTCCTTTCTATCCAGTCTTTCAAGGAGCCTCCCACTGATTGAGTTTTGCCTGCTCGGACACTTTTCTCTTGTCCCAGGGAAGAGCAGCAGGTTTCTCATTATTGGTATTAAGACCTTCAATGGTTACATGCTGTGGGGTCTATAGTCTCGCCTGAAACTTTAAGCATTGACACCCTTTC